TATATATATATATATATATGTACATATATATAGTAGCTAGTATCTGCAAATTCTGAACTCCCAGTTTGTCTCTTCTCACTCCCTTTCCCCACTGGTAACCACAGGTTTGTCTCCTGTGTCTGTGAGTCTGTTTCTCTTTTGTAAATAAGTTCATTTCATTCTTTTTTTTTTTAGATTCCACATATGAGTGATATTACATGGTATTTTTCTTTCTTTCTGGCTTACTTCACTTAGAATGATGATCTCCAGGTCCATCAATGTTGCTGCAAATGGCATTATTTTATTTCTTTTTTATGGCTGAGTAGTATTCCATTGTATAAATATGCCACAACTTCTTCATCCAATCATCTGTCAATGGACATTTAGGTTGTTTCCATGTCTTGGCTATTGTAAATAGTGCTGCTATGAACATTGGGGAGCATGTATCTTTTCAAGTTAGAGTTTCCTCTGGATATATGCCCAGGAGCAGGATTGTTGGATCATATGGCAAGTCTATTTTTAGTTTTTTGAGGCATCTCCGTACTGTTTTCCATAATGGCTGCACCAAATTACACTCCTGCCAGCAGGGTAAGAGAGTCCCCTTTTCTCCACATTCTCTCCAGCATTTATCATTTGTGGACTTTTTAATGATGACCATTCTGACTGGTGTGAAGTAACACCTCATTGTAATTTTCATTTGTATTTTCCTCATAATTAGTGCTATTGAACATTTTTTTATGTGCCTTCTGGACATTTGTATGTCTTCATTGGAGAATTGCTTGTTTAGGTCCTCTGTCCATTTTTGATTAGATTGCTTTTTTTGTTATTAAGCTGTATGAGCTGTTTATATATCCTGGAAATTAAGCCCTTGTCAGTTGCATCATTTGCAAATATTTTCTCCCATTCTGTAGGATGTCTTTTTGTTTTGCTAGTCTTTTTTTTCTAATTCTAATTTTTATTGAAATGTAGCCAATTTACAATGTTATTTTCAGGTGTACAGCAAAGCGATTCAGTTATACATATATCATGTATTTAGTCTTAACCTTCTGTTTTATGTTTGTGAATTCAGGAGAGAGATTGAATCTCTCTGTGCCTCAGTTTCTCCTTAGGGACATGAGAGCATTGTGAGCCTCTCCCATGGGGCTGGGGTGGTGTCAAGGTTCCTTGGACCCAGCCCCAGTCTCTCCACCAGGCCCGTCCTGGCGGCCTCTATCCCTTGGGGACCAGCTATAATTAGGTCCAGCCACAGCAGCTACAGATGGTATTTTTGTCTTGGGGACAGTCTGATTCCCACCAGGTGTCCGGTTGCAGGGCTGTGGGGACAGAAGGGGGTTTCCAGCCAGACCCTTGAGACTCTCTGTCTTCCTGGGCCCCAGTGTGACCCTTCTCTGAGCCTCTGTTTTCTCATCTATACAACGAGGACCATAGTGTACTTGAGATGTCACAGAGGGTCAGAGTCTCCTCCCTGCGGTGCCTTAGGGTCTCCCATTGAAGCCCCTATCTCCTGAAATGGTATTTCATGTCATCTTAGGATTGCCAGAAATGTGGGTGGCATTTGTCTGAGGACCCCAAAACTGGTGCAGTCCCCTGGGGTAAGGCCCAAGTAGGGGGTTGTCATTCCACAGCAGGACACTCAGGCCCACAGCTTCTGTGTGGTCTCAGATGGGAGGCCCGCCCACCCTGGGCTTTGGTTGCTTCTGCCTGAGATGTGAGTGTCCCGGATCCTACCTCCAAATGTGATGTTCTTCAAGACTTGGCTTCCCTTTTTGAAAAATGAGGCAGGACCACCTGACACCAGCATTCCAATTGTAGGCCATCTGGTACAGATCCCTGAACCCCTAGACACCAGAAACAAGACTTCCCTTTCCAGGGGTCCTTCCTGGGGTGGGGGTGGGGTGGCAGGTGAAGCCTCACAGGACGGAAGGCCTGGCGGGAGTGGACTGCGGATGTTTGTCCGGTGGAGACAGCAGGACAGGAGAAGGGATCCAGAGACAGGACCTGGGGAATGTCAGAGCAGGTCGGGGGCCACGTGGGGACTTGTGGAGGGAGACTGAGAGAGGCGGAGCTGCTCTGCCGTGAAGACTTGCATCTGCCACCACCTTTCTCCAAGCCTCAGTTTCCCCATCTGGTAAAGGATGAAGGTTTTGTAGTTTCTGGGCAGCCCCTTGGTGGCTCAGGCCTCAGTTTCTCCATCTGGAAAATGGATAGAGGGGGATTGCAAGCAACTGTGTAGGATCTGGGCAGCCCCTCCGCAAGCTCTGGGCCACGGTGACTCCTTTGTAGCGGAGGGCACTTCCTTTTCTAACTTCCGTATATCACTTTTCAGCCCAGTTATCAGATGAGCAAGCCGTAGTAATAGGGGATATGCTGGCAGAGGGAAGTGGTGTAAGATGCGGTTTCTGGGCCCCCTAAAGAGTGGGAGCAGAGAATCGCGGCTAGCCCATTGCCTCAGTTTCCCCATTTGTCCTAGCGGGGGCGTCCCTGAGCGGTCCAATGGCGGCAAGGCGGGGCTGGTGCGCCTTCTGCCCTCTCCCCGCCGGGCCCCGCCCCCGTGGCTGTCCAGAAAAGGTCCCGCGCAGTCCGCCCTGGGTCCAGCCTCCAGCCTCCACGCGGTCTTGGCGATGCAGAGGCCCCCTGCGCCCGCCCCTGCCCCTGGGCCCAGCTCCCCCCGGTCGCTCCCCGCGCGGCTCCCCCGGGCTCTTCAGGAAGCTCCTGGTGAACCAGAGCATCCGCCTGCAGCGGCGCTTCACGGTGGCCCATCCGCTGTGGTGAGGCGAGACAGTGGGCCAAGCAGGGGTCATCGGAACCGTCGGGCTGGAGGTGGGAAAGGCAGAGTCAGGGACAGCTGGAGCCAGGTTGGGGGTCAGGGTATAAACCCTCTGCTCCTCCGCGCTTTCTCGGTATCTCTCTCCCCCTGCCCTATCTCTGACTCTTAGAGTTGGTGACTGTCTCTCTTCATCTGTTTCCCTCCACCCTCCGCCTGGATATATGCCCAGGGGACCAGCCGCTGTTCTTTTCCAGCTGTGTGGCCTGGAGCAGCACGGGCTGAGGCTCACGTCTCCTCCTGACCCTCGTCGACCCAGGGCAGGCAGGTTGAGCCTCTTGGCAGTGGAGGGGGGAAGGTCACTCCTTCCCTTGGTCTGCCCCCACCATCCGTCCTGGCGCCAGCAACGAGATGGCCTGGTGGCCTCATACTAAGCACTCAGTGTCCGTGGAGGAAGACGTGGTTTGATGGGGGCCTTCCAGACAGGGTATTTGCGGTGTAAGAGGGCTCCTTGCATATCCCCGGCTGAGAGCTGACTTCTTGGTTGCGTCCTCCAAGAACTCGTTCCACTTCTCTGGGTTCGAATTCCGGCCCTCAGGAAGCGATTGTAACTTCGTGGGTCTCGAGGGTGAGGCTGGGGTTTGGAGGTGGGGGCTGGTGGGCGCCGACTGGGTCTGGTTCCTTGCTCTTGATTCGTACCGCTTTCGTACACACTTGATAATTTGGCACCTGGCGGCTCAGAGACTAAAGGTCCCTTCTCCAAGGTCACACAGACAGTGACAGCTGGTGGAGGGAGGGAGGCAGCCGTGACTGTGGTCCCTGATGGCACTATTTCAGGCTGGGAGTGGGTTCCAGTGTCCAGGAGAGGGCCCTCTGGGTACCAGACGCCTGTGAAGAGGGGTCCCTGCCGAGGGCTTGGGAGTGAGCACAGGTACGTGGAGGACGTCGAGGGAGTGGGGCTGGAGGAGGGCGGGTCTCTCCGAGGCTCCCGTGCCTCAGTTTACCTGTCTAACAGACGGACATAAGCGCCGTTCCCACAGTCCGAGCGACCTCCTCCTGGCCACCCGCGTCATGGAACCACCGCCTGACCCGGCCGATCTAGGCTAAGTTTAGAGCAGAAAGAAAAACAGCTTCCCCCGGGGCGAGAAAACCTTGGCCCAGACCTTAACTCTCCGCTCTCGCTACTTGGATTCGAACCCAGCACCCTGTGGCCTCTCCCAGCCTCAGTTTCCCTATTTATCCATAGGTGAGCCTTCCCAGAAACTTTGAGGAGGCAAGGGAGGGATAGGAAGTAGTCACCCGCAAGCCTCCCACTCCGATCACTGGTTTAGAGTATTCACCTCGGTTAGCCTGCCCCCAAGAGCGTCTCTCCACCAGTCACGCGCCCACTCCAAGGCTTGAGAAGCACTAAGAAGCCCCGCCCCTCACGGTGACGTCACTAAGCGGGAGCTGGGACTCGTTGGCTGTAGGGGCTTCTCTAGGAGCCACCGGGCCTGAACAGACCGAGAGCCGCCGGACATACCCGAATATTCCGGAACTCACCCGAGTGAGGCCGGACTAAGTCGAATGTGCCCGATCCGGCCCGAGGACCATCCCCCCAACTCCGCGACTTGCTCGAAAACCTAGCGCGGCCAGACATAGCCGAACACACCCGAACGCATCCGAACCTACCCGAGCGCAGTTGGATGTAGCCGAATCTTGCTGAACTCACCGATCGAACTCAGCCGGACGAGGTCCAACCCTGTGTGATCAGACCCAACTTAGTCAAACCCAGGCGTACTTGATCGAGCCGGAAAGAATCCTGCCGAATTCCCCACCTCCACCCCGGGTCTGAGCCGAGTCCCTTGTTCGGAGTCTTCCGGCAGGCGCCGATCCCCGCCAGTGGACCCGGGTAGGGTGACCTGACTGGGAACCAAGTGGACATTGGCCCTTGACCAGGAGTCTCGCGACTTGGGGCGGCCCCTGGGGTCTTCCTGTCCCTGCCTCTCCTGCCTGCTCCCTTCTCAAAAGCCTGTGACCCATCTGCAGCCTCTCTCCCTGGTCATTAACTCCCTCCTCCCACGCTCCCTGCCACTGTTTCTCTGACCTCTGACTAGAAGGTCCCCCTAGAGAACTAGGGTGGGTCTTCTTTCCCCATCAGGGTGTGGCTGGAGGGAGATTCGGGGCTGAGAGATGGGAGGAGGGATTGGGGATTGTCTGGAACAGAGGGCGTTGTAGGGATGACGATGCTCTGGGCAGAGGGCACACCCTGTGCAAAGGCTCGGAGGTGGAAGAGAACAGGCAGAGCTTTTGGGCCGAAAATAAAGCAGACGATTTGGGGAGCCAAGGCTAGGGCTAAGCGAGACGGGGATGTGGTTGACGATTTTGGGGCGGGGCCATACCGGCCAAGGGTTGGGGCTTGGAGCTGAGGGAGTGGACAGGTGGTCCAGGGCGGAGCCAAAGCTGCCTGGGGGCGTGGCCTCTTCTGGCTGTGGGGAGCCTTGGAGTGTGACGGATCTAGGCAGGACCCAAGTCCCCTCCAGAGAGGAAAGCCCAGGAAGTCATTTCCAGTCCCAATGAACTTACTGTGCAACCTAGACCTCAGTTTATTCCTACACTTGATCGTAGCCAAAAGGCCGAGAAGCGATCAGTTTATTCCTTAGTAAATGGGCACCCAGTTGTCCTCCTCAGGTGCCTGGTTGTAACCCCCTAAAAGCCCCCTCAGGGGTGAAGTCTACCACGCCCACACTAGAAACAGGGTGGTTAATGTCCACAGAAATGCTGAGACCTACCCATGGTCACACAGCCACTTGGGGACAGATCTGAATCGCACGTCCTTGAGTCTAGCTTAGCCCCAGCGGAAGAGGCTCTGAGATACAGAGGCGAGATGGAGGCATGAGGGGCGTGGCATCCCAGACAGGGGGTGCCACTGTGGGACAGGTAGACAAGCTCGAGGCTACTCCTGCCCAGCCCACTGCATGGCCCCAGGGAGGATATGACAGAACGGGTATGGGCCATGGCTCACCACGCGCATGCCAGGACCCTCGTCTCTGACTATGCCTTCTTTGCCTTCAGTTTTGACCTGGAAAATGGACTCTCGTGTGGGAGAAGCGCCCTGGACCCTCAGGCGGGGTCTGGCCTTGGCCGAGTCATCCAAGCCCCTGCCCAGCACAGCCAGAGGAGGGAATCCTTTCTCTACCGTTCAGACAGTGACTACGAACTCTCATCCAAGACCATGTCCCGGAACTCCTCCGTGGCTAGCGACCTGTGAGTCTGAGGCTGGTGGGATAACACCTCCTCGTATGACCTTTTTTACCCTTCGTTTCTCCATTCAGCACACCTCCTTCAAGTGATCATTTGAGCTGGGCTTTGAGGTTTATGTAGGAGTTTGTCAGGCAGCTCACTTACTCAGTCCAGCATGCCGAGAATGATATGGGGTGATCCTTTGTGCCTGACTTCAGGCTGGGGTTGGGTGGCAATCCAAAAATATTAAGGCCAATTAACAACAACTGAACAAACACCTTGATTTGAGCTTCCTGTTGGCCGTAATTTCCTGCCTCTAAGACTCCTGTTGCCCCTGGGACTCAAATTCCCCATCTGTGATTGGTCAGAGGGGCTGTGGCGGCTTTCAGAGAAGAGTCAGGTGAGGGGAGCCCAGGAACTACTAGGAGGACATCCAAAGGAGGAGTCATGACGATAGGACGCACTCAGCTGAGGGCATATTGTAGGTAAAAGCTGTAAGATAGGAATGTGTGGAGGGCTCCTCCTTACCTCCATTCCATGTCCTGTCTCCCCACAGACACGGAGAAGACATGATTGTGACACCCTTTGCCCAGGTGGGTACCCACATCTTGCTTCTCTCGTGAGCCAAGCAGTCAGAGCCAACCCCTCCTTTCCAAAGCTGACCACCCCGCTCCCTATAGGTCCTGGCCAGTCTGCGGACGGTTCGGAGCAACGTTGCGGTCCTTGCGCACCTGCAAAGCCGCGGAGCAGCCAAGTACGCAGGAGGTGGGGGGGCGGGGCCTGGCCGAGAGAGGCGGGGCCGACAGGGGGAAGGGCAGGGCCTGTGGAAGAGAAGGAAAGGGCCTGGTGGAGAGGGACGGGATGAAAGACAAAGTGGTCAGGGGCGGAGCATGGCTGGAAAGGGCGAGGCTGGCAAGTCACGGGGAAGGCTGGGCAGGGCGGGGCCTGGAGAAGTTGGAGGCGAGGCCATATGGGTGAGCAGGCCACCCCTGAGCCGACTGTGTTTACTGCAGGCAGGGATGCGTCGGGAATACCCCATCTGGCAGTCAGCCCCCTCCACCAACAGGTACTGCGCTTGCTCCTATCTTCTCCCGCTGTGGGACAGCTGTGAACTTCCTCATTATGGTGACCTCCCAGCCCATGAATCCTTAGGCTATGCTAATTGTAACCACCCGCTTCAACACCCCTGGGGATGGGGAGATCCTGGGGTCCTGAGTAGCCTCACTGGGAAGGGCTCTGGGCTCCAGATGCAGATATGAAGGCAGAAGGGGCGCTGGGTTCCCGAGTGGGGATGGGGCAGGCCCCTGACCAGCTTGACCCCCAGAGGACACTGGGCAGAAGCTGGCTTTGGAGACATTGGATGAGCTGGATTGGTGTCTGGATCAGCTGGAGACACTGCAGACACGGCACTCCGTGGGGGAGTTGGCCTCCAACAAGGTAAAGAGGGCCAGATACCTGGGATCCTTTGCCTCTGTTCACAGTCCCATCCTCACTGTCCTCACTTTCTCCTGCAGTTCAAGCGGATGCTGAACCGGGAGCTGACTCACCTGTCTGAAACCAGCCGCTCCGGGAACCAGGTGTCCGAGTACATATCCCGAACCTTCCTGGGTGAGCTATGGTGGGTCACTACCTAGACCACATTATAGAAGTAGGAAGAGGGAAGAGAAAGAAAGATTTCTACTACAGACCTCAACTGAGGAAGACAGACCCAGACACGGACACCTCCAGCCCCATGAATCAGGGCTGGACCAGAGGGAGGAACAAGGGGAAATTCCAGGAGGAGGGGAACATTAAAGCTAGGGTTTTGAAGCATGAGTAGAATTTTGCCAAGGAGAAAATGGAGGGAACCACATATCTGGGTCTCCAGCTTGGGAGATGGAAAGGATATTCAGCTGTTTGGGGAAAAATACTGAGCTCCAGGTGCCCAGGGGCCATGTCCAGTAAAAGGGCTCACTAAGGTCAGCAATGAACAGAGAAGGGTAGCTACAGGGCAGACAGGAGTTCACTCTGAGATTACTTTGATACAGCTAACAAGAAAATAGGTTGATCTCAAGGCTTGGCAAAATGTGGTACCTAAGGCCAAGCAGGCCAACCCTAGCAGGTGAATTGGCTTCTCTGAACCCTACCCTGCCCTGCCTACAGACCAGGAGACTGAGGTGGAGTTGTCCAGGGCGACCTCCACGGAGCCCCGGAGACCTATGTCCCAGATCAGTGGACTGCATGGGCTCCCGCACAGTACCAGCCTTCCTGCAGCCACAGTCCCACGCTTTGGGGTCCAGACTGACCGGGAGGGGCAACTGGCCAAGGTGGGTTTCCAATGGGAATGCTGAGTCCCAGGTTTGAGTCCTGGCTCTGAGTGGATGCCCTATCTTGGGACTCAGTTTGCCCACCTGTATACTGGCCAGGTGGGGCTCAATGTAGGACCTGGGGCTGGGGGTCAAGGCTCCAGAGTTTGGGGAAGTTGGGCTGGAGTTAAGCTCCAGTCTTTCACATTTTAGGAGCTGGAAGACACCAACAAGTGGGGCCTTGATGTGTTCAAGGTGGCAGAGCTAAGTGGGAACCGGCCCCTCACAGCCATCATCTTCAGCATCTTTCAGGTACCTCCCCTGCCCTTGGCTTCTAATGCCCTTGTGTTTCCTTCATTCCTTCCTACCTCAGAACCTCAGGGGACATATATTCTTCAAATCCTCCCTAACATCCCTGAATGGGGTTATTTGAGCAGGACATTGAAGGATGAATAGGAGTTCACTAGGTTTAAAAGTTCATTGCTGATTGTCAACAAGCCTCTGCCTTGGGCCAGGCCTGAAGAGATCCAGTCTGGAGGGAACAGTTGCAGGTCAGGGATGAGCCAGAGGGGAAGGACAGAGCCCAAGGGAGTTAGAGGGAGAGTAGGTAGGGCCTCCTAGAAGAGGGGGCATTTGAAAGATGGATAGGGATTCAGAAGAAGAGAAGACAAAGGAATAGTTTGTGCTGCTGCCCAAAGGCCAAGGCCCTGACTGGGGCCCTGTGATGGACCAGGAACGGGACCTGCTCAAGACATTTCAGATCCCAGCAGACACGCTTGTCACCTACCTACTGATGCTGGAAGGTCACTACCACAGCGATGTGGCCTACCACAACAGCCTACATGCTGCTGATGTGGCCCAGTCCACACATGTGCTGCTGGCCACACCTGCACTTGAGGTAGGGCCCAATGGCTGCAGTCAACCCTGGTGGGTGCAGGGCGCCAAGAGCCTACCTCTCACCTCTTATGCCCCTTGCCCACTCAGGCCGTGTTCACAGATCTGGAAGTCTTGGCTGCCATCTTCGCCAGCGCCATCCATGATGTGGACCATCCTGGTGTCTCCAATCAGTTTCTCATTAACACCAGTGAGTTAGGGGGCAGGGCTTTGTCACCACCTGTCAATCAAGTGATCTTAGGTGGCCCCATCCCTGCTCTGAGCCTCCCTGCTTGTGAATGGCTGCCACAAACTTCCCTCCCTTAAGTGCTTGAAACAGATCCAGATATGCAGTAGACACTCAATAAATGAGAGAATAACAAATGTGGCAGAGCTGATATGGGCCCACTGAAATTTTAAAGTTTAGGGTCCTTTGGGGTGTCTGAAAAACTCAGTCAAAAAGCAATTATTAGACACCTCATACACGTCCCTAGAGAGTTGAGGATGAGAGTGGAGCCCTCTCTCTTGAAGATCCCAGAGTTTAATAAGACAAAGATTCAGTAGTTCATTCAACCAGCACTCAGTGTACACTGTCTCCTGCCATGCCAAGTCCCCAGGGAGTCATCAGTCTTGAGGTAGAGCTGAACACAGATGCCCTCAGCCCTGCAGAATCAGGGCAGGGCCATGGGGAGAGACAGGGTCTTAGAAGGCTTCCTGGAGGAGGGGGCATTAGAATTGGGGTTTCAGTGCATGAATAGGAGTTTACCAAGAATTCACAAAACCTGCCTTTGGGTGGAGCGGGTTGGGCAGGCAGGTCTTGAGGTATTCCACCTCCCCCATAGACTCAGAGCTTGCACTTATGTACAATGATGCCTCTGTGCTGGAGAATCACCACCTGGCTGTGGGCTTCAAGCTGCTACAGGCAGAGAACTGTGACATCTTCCAGAACCTCAGCACCAAGCAGCGGCTGAGTCTGCGCAGGATGGTCATTGACATTGTGAGATCACAGCGATGGATGGGGTGGGACAATCTTGGTTTGGCTGGGGGTTCAGTTGGACTATGGCATGTCTCCATTCTGAGTCTGAGCTTCCTGGTCGGTAAAATGGGGCAGTGACTGTCCAAACCCTGAGTGACTAGGCCCTTGGTTAGGCTAATCAGGTCCTGGACATGATTCACGTACAAACAATGTGGAAACTGTTTCTGGTGCAACTTTTTCACATGCTTAAATCTGTCCATTTGATATTTTTCAACTTGGGAGACATCAATAGGTTTTGGGGTCTTGTGCCTCATTCATTTATTTAGCAAGCATGTATTGAGCACCTATTGTGTGTTTGCCCTGTGCCAATGACCATTAGAGTTCTGGCCTTTATGACACTCACAGTCTGCGGGGGAGACAGACATTTAGGTGGGAACTGTGGTGGGGGACCCACAGGCAGAGCTATGATGGAGGACCTGTAGCTAGAGCTGTAACGGGGGAAGGTGCTCAAGGTTGGGGAGGCCTTCCCCAGGAGGGAGCACTGAAGCTGGGGCCTGCAGGGTGCGGAGGGCCAAGGGGCAGGGAGGAGCATTCCCAGCAGAGGGAAGAGTATGTGGGGAGGGCTCAGATGAAACCCAGGCTCCAGGTGAAGAGGAACTTTGATGAGGTAGAGCTAGGGCTTTGGGAGGTGGGCATCCTGAGAGGGAGCATCATTTGGGCCAGATGAGAAGTTTGGGGAGAAGTTTTCAGACTTCTGTCTGATTCTCAAAGAAGCCTATGGACTGCTATGTGGGTCATTCCTAGGCTGGGTCCGGGTGGGTCCAGATAAGTGATTTTAAAATAGCTGTGCCCAGGGCTGAACTTCCCTCCCAATGACTGAAAACAACTCTCCCACCACAGGGAGGCTTGGAGAGCACCAAATCAGGTTCCTCATTGCTTCAAATCCATCTGTGGATATATCCCCCATGGCCCTCTGGTTATATTCCCTACTCCTCCCTGAGGCCCTCCCCGCTTCATCACCCTCTGTCACTCCTGCACTCACCTGTTCCAGCCACAACTGTCTCCTCTATATGCCTCAGCTCATTCAGCCTCAGGGCCTTTGCACTGGCTGTGTCATCTGCTGGGCCTCTCAGACCACCCTCAGGCACATCTGACCTCAGCCCCCAGGTTTAATCTCCCTGTCCCACATGTGGGATGCACCCTACAAAGCCCAACAACCTTGGAGAAGGGACTGTTGACAGCCTCTCTTGTTAGCTAGGTTTGCAGTGAATCTCTTTATATCCCCCCATTTGACAGATGAGGATGCTGAGGCTCAGAGGGCTGAGGATCCAAGTGGGTGGGGCATACGGGAGGTGGGGCGGCTGAAATGGAGCAGGCGCTATCCTCATACCTGTCATCCTTCCTTGCCGGCCCCCAGGTGCTGGCCACGGACATGTCCAAACACATGAACCTTCTGGCCGACCTCAAGACCATGGTGGAGACCAAGAAGGTGACGAGCCTTGGAGTCCTGCTGCTAGACAACTACTCTGACCGCATTCAGGTGGGTGGCTGGGCCAGCCCTGGGGCTTTGGTTTCCACTGTTCTCATTTAGCCACATTTATGAAGAGCTGACTGTGTGCCCAATTTGAAGAAATGGAAGCACTTACAGTCACATGCCTGTGCCTTAGCTATTCCTTCCCCTCCTGGGCCTCAGTTTCCCCACCTATAAGATGGGTGTGTCCATGGCACCAGCCTCTGGGGGGTGGGTACCAGGCCTGGGGGTGGCCTGGCTTGAGTCCTCCCGAGCCATGGTCTCACCAGGTCTTGCAGAGCCTGGTGCACTGTGCCGACCTCAGTAACCCCACCAAGCCGCTGCCGCTGTACCGCCAGTGGACAGATCGCATCATGGCCGAGTTCTTCCAGCAGGGTGACCGTGAGCGCGAATCAGGCCTGGACATCAGCCCCATGTGTGATAAGCACACAGCCTCGGTGGAGAAGTCCCAGGTCTAAGAGTAACTGACTCAAGCTGGTGGGCACTGGGGAGAGAGGAGGGGAAGGAGTGGCTGAGCTGACCCCAAGAGTCCTGGCTTGACCCCTGGCTGGTAAATGAGGGGATGTGGCCTAAGGGTCTGCACTGGACTGTGCAGTCAGGCTTGGGACGCATTCCCTCTAGGTTGCAGGAAGAGGGATGATCACTTGTGGAGTTTGGAAATGTCTATTCTGGGTGACATCAAAGATCCTAAAAGGGCTCCCAGTCTGGGGGGGCACATACATCCAACACTGAGGAGTCAGGGCTGAGGTGAAAGAAAGACTTAGGGATTGAGGGAGCCCAGAAGGGGCAGGGGGAGGCTTCCTAGAGGAGGAGTTTTTTGAAGAGGATTTTGAAGGATGAGTAGGAGTTGGGAAATAGCATTCCAGGCAGAGGGAACAACCTGGGCAAATGCTTAGAGGCTGGACTAGGTCTAGGTTCCACAGTAACTTACCACACAGCAACCTCTACCCCCCAACTCTGTATCACCCCACAGGTGGGTTTCATTGACTATATCGCCCACCCATTGTGGGAGACATGGGCTGACTTGGTACACCCAGATGCACAGGACCTGCTGGACACTCTGGAAGACAACCGTGAGTGGTACCAGAGCAAGATCCACCGCAGTCCTGTGGACCCCACCAGCCCCAAGCAGAGTGGCCCTGACAGATTCCAGTTTCAGCTGACTCTGGAGGAGGCAGAAGAAGAGGAGGAAGAGGGAGCATTGACTGAGGAGGCCTCGGAGACACCTGACATTGAGTTCCTGTCCTCTGAGGCCAGCCCAGACCCTGGGGCCCTACATCTGGACAACCAGAGGACCATGGGCAAGCCCTGCATGGACCATGAGGGCAATATGATGGCTGAGCCTTTGGGCACCTAATGGCTCCTGGTGGGTGGGTGGACTTTCCCAGGAATAAGTCCCAGGTGGCCCCTGCTTTGCCTTTCCCACCCATTGAGGGAGACAACCAAGCTTTCAGTAATAGGCAGTTTTTAGGGCTGAATTGGAGGCACCTAGTGGGGTCCACTCTGACCCTGGGCTTGGCTGAGAGAGCTCTCCGAAGAGCTGGACTGGAAGCAGCCTCTTCCAGGGCCCTTGAGTTCTCGCACCTGGATTTCCACCCCTGGTATTGAAAAGGGTTGTCTGCCAGGCCCCTTGTCCATCTTCTCCAGTGGTCACTAGAGCCACGTCCATCACTTTATTGTTTCATTCTTTACAGATATTTTCTGGATACCCACTGTGTGCCTGTTATGTGCCTGCACAAGAGGGTGGGGAATCAGCCCCAAGGAGATGCCCCCTCCCCGAGACGCCTCCCCTTCATCTGCCAGGCAGCTCATTGCAAGAGAACAAGAACTTGAATGGGGGAATTTCCACCACCAAATCTTTGTCCAGACCCAATTTGGGCTCTGGAACTCTGGTGGAGGGCGGTAGGGGGCCAAGAAAGAGAGGGCTCTGTGTCAGGGATTGTCTCTGAAGATTGACTCAGCTTGTCACTGCTTGTGCACTGACTGACTGTTGCTTTAAGTCGCCGTAGTTTCCGTCTTCAGGTCTAAGGATCCTGGTTCTCCCTGGCCCCAGGACCCCCTGCTGATTCCTTCACACGTTCTTCCTCTTCTAGAACAGCAACAGAAGCACAGAATTCTCCCCCATGGAAGTTCTCTCCATCTCCTGATTGAGGCTGTCCCAATCTCCCCATAGGGAAAAGGAAGCCCTTTCTTTCCCCTCTACGGCCAGATCCTAATACTTGGGTAAACTTTGGTTGGAGGGTGGTGTCTGTGACCTCCCTGAAATATCTTAGAAATGTGGGGGATTCTCTGAGGTTAAATAAACTCTATTACCCCAAATTAGTACTATGCCATTTCACGGATGGGGAAACAGGAGCAGAGAGGTCCGGTTGCCTGAGGTCTCAAGGCCATGCAGCTGGGCCCCAGACATTAGCCAGCGGCGCCCCCTTGCGGCGGGAGGCGCCGAGGGGGCGTGGGACGAATTCGGACGTCCTCCTTGCCTTGCTGGAAGTCCCTCTCCGGCCGGCTTGGTCCAGCTCATCCCAAGAAAATGAGGCGGCTCTGTGCTCAAGTCTCAGGTTTAATTCCCACTTCCGGAGGACTCAGGATCCCACCCAGCCTTCCCCGCGCCCCCAGCCTCCCTCTCTGCGTGTCTGAGGATTTATACACAAGTCATCACAACCCCTGGCTTCAAGAACAGCAGGCTTCATTCCTAAATAATTCCATTAATAATTCCATTCCATTGATCATTCATCATCATTAAAATTAATGATCAGATTCCACAGAGGGAGAATTAAAGGTCATCTGGATTATAACTTGGTGCATTTCCTTCCAGTCTTTCACAAGGCAGAGATTTATGGAATTTTTATTTATAATTTTTTATCCTTCCCCCTTTACTTGCAGGTACTACATGTTTCCCACAGAGAATTTGGAAATAATGGAAACATAATAATGGAACCAGAAGAAAAAATTCTGCTATACCTCACCCATAGATCATCTTTCAGCTTTTCACCGTTTTTTCTCCACCTATTCATAAAAACATTCTTCTGTTCTCCTTCAATTTGGGCCACAGGCATTCTTGCCTCTCTCCTTTACTGACTGCACTCTACCCTACGCTGGCTTTTAACACTCCAAGCACAGTCCCACCTCAGGCCCTTTGCACATGCTGTACCCACCACCTGGAATACATATGCTTTCACTCATCCTCACCCTTTGGGTCTCACCTCAGCATCCCCTCCTCCAGGAAGTCCTTCCTGACCTTCCACCTTCCAACCCAGGCTGGCACTGGTGGAAGTTCTTTGGGATTCTTTGTTCCATGTCTACCATCCTCTCCAGGCTGTGATCTTCAGAGGTAGACTTAACCTCCCTGAGCTTTTGTCATTTCATGGGTAAAATGTAAAATGGGCTCTTTGTGAGGATCACAGAATTGTAACAATGGGTCACATTTGAGGAAAGTGTGTCCTGAGCAGGGCATTGAGCTCTGAGGTATCAACTTTTTCTTCTTTCCATTTCACAGATGTAGAAACTGAGGCCCACAGAAGGGGTGAGTAAGAAGAAATCACTCACATTCTCCAAGTGCCCCATTTTCTTGTTTAGAGTCCTTCCTGAGGGACATAGTCCTTACCTTTGTGGCCCATCCTTGACCCAAAGAGGAAGGTAGGAGAGGGTCTTCAGGGTCCCTGGAAACTTTCAGCCCTTGTGACCTAGGGTGACTCCTAGGGTCTCAGTTTGCCTTCTGTTGAGGGAGAAAATGTTGCCTGGCTCCCTTCCTCACAGAGCTGGAGAGGGGCTGTCCCTAGAGCTTGTTTAGTGAGTTCCAGCCTCAGGGCCTTTGCACTTGCTGTTCCCTCTGTCTGGAGCTCTGTTTCCCCACTTCTCCTGGTGGTCAGCTCCTTCTCCTCCTCCTTCAGGTTCCTGCTCAAATGTCAGTTCCTCAAAGAGGTCTTCCCTAATCTCTTTGGCGAAAGTCACCCTCCCTCCAATCATTTATTCATTCACTCATGTCATACCATCACAGGGCACTTACTGTGTCCACAGATGCAGGTGCTGCTGATGCTGATCCCTGCCTCTCAGAGCCCACAGCTGGCTATTGGATAAGTAAGTCAGCATGATCATTTCTGATGGGGGGATGTGTTAGGAAGGAGAAATATGGTGACATGATAGGAGGTGACAGGGTGAAATCAGAACTTCTGGAGGGAGGTGGTGTTGATTGGAGACCTGAAGGGGATGAAAGAGCCAGGCACAGGGAGAGCTGGGAAACGGCTCAGGTAGAGGAAACAGCAGGTGCAAAGGCCCTGAGGCAAGATTGTATCTGGAATCTTGGAAGAGAAAGATGGGGAGGTAGTGAGGTGGGATCTGGGAGTGTTTGGTTTATTTCCCCTGCCACGCAGGAGACCTCCCGCCAAGTCAACTACCCCTAATTCCAGAGCCTTATGCTGATTCTTAACAATAAAGGTCTTCCACTATTTTTATTTTAAAATACAAACTCTTTGTGCAGAAGCTGGTGCATGTTGTTGTGGTCTTTTACCCTACGGGAAATCCATCCATGTACAAAGCCCAAAGCATGCATTTGGGAGGTCGGGGACCCTGGAGCCTAGCGGCCTCGTACGCCCTCTCTTCCACCCGGGTCGCGCCTGGAGTCCCCCCACCCCAACCCCAAAGCGGGAACTCGACTGCTGGTCTTCCTGTGGCGGGGGGGGGGGGAGGAGATTGGAGGTGGACTTATATTTATGTATTATGATTTTCTGAGTTTTCCCAATTCTCCGCAGTGGGTTTGTGATGCTTTTATAGTCCGAGTGAGGGAGTGGAAAAAAAAGGTTACCCTTAGAAAAAAATAGATTTCCCAAATGCAAGGAGAGCGGGAGGGAAGTCTCCGCACTTCCGGGGCGCTGGGGGCGGGGATGGGAGGCGGCCTCCGGGCGCGAAGTTATTCTGGTCTCTCGGCGTCTCTGCAGCTGGCGAGCTTTTTATAAACAGGACAAGTCCCGCCCCTCGTCTCCTGAGGAGCAATCAGGGAGATCAGAATTTTCCTGGGGCCACACGCCACTTGCCGGGTGTGAGGACCGGAGTTGGGGGCTCAGGGACCTAGAATGGAGGACAGGGTCTCGTTATTCCACCGCCCCACACCCCATTCTGATTTTCTCATATCAAGATTTGGGAAAGATGGAGCATCTTAGACCCCCAAATCCCCATCTCTGAGTCTTGTTTCACCAGGATGGAGGAGGGAGGGCTCTCCGTTCCCGTCTTTTTAACTCAGTAACCAGAGAGGAGTAATGCATCTCCCATCCTGCATCTTTGTTGTTGAGTCTTTGAACCTCGCTCGTACCCTCTCTGTTTCCTGTTTTTTTTAAATTTAATTTAATTTTTTTTAACTGGAGGCTTTGTGAATTTCGGGGACAGGCCGTTTCTCTGCCCTACTTCCACCATTTCTTCTAATTTTTATCTGGAAAATGGGACTCAGAAAGACGAGGGGTTCCCGGAGCGTCCGTCAGCCCCTCCCTTCTTTTCTGGAAATTGATGGGTAAGGGTATTTATTTTGAACCCAATAAATAGGAGACATGGAGCATCTTCTCGGACCTCTATTCCTATTTTCTGGGAGTAGGGGGTATTTAAAAAGAAGTCACAACACCCTGGACTGGGCCAGGAAACTCTTGTGTCTCTAACCTGGGGTGCGCGGGGGCGGGGAACGGTAACGCCCCCAGAAGACCCAGGCTCTGCCAAGGCCTCAACCTCTCGGCCCTTCAATCTTTCGGGAGCCACCATTGGACAGGGGGAGGGAGTGACAAGCTTTGATTGGCTACTCAGCCCATCGCTCGAGCGTTTAAGCCAGTGAGAAGGCACCGCTCAGCCCCGCCTCCCTAACGCTGGAGAGAGGCGGAGCCGGCAGGCGATTCCACCCCTCCTGCACCGCTTCCGCTTGTTACTGGATGCGCTCGCTGGGCCCCGCCCAATTCTCGCGTCAATCTGCGTGGGAGCCCCGCCCCTCACAGCTCCGCGGACTACCAGGGCCTTAGCTCCGTGCGTGGCCCCGCCCCAGAATGGCGTCACGGTCGTATCTGCATGTGAGGCCCCGCCCCTATCTTTGCAGGACGTCACCGCGGACTGCAGGGGCCTGAGCTGCTGCTGCCGCCGCCTCCGCTGCCGCGCAGCCCCACATCGGCGCACTGGGGGCCAGATCACCGCCGCTGCCAAAAAAGTCGCCGTCGCTAGGGTCGTCACCTAACCAGTGCAGGGCAAGGTGAGCTCCCGGGCGGCCCGGTACGTTTCTGCTCGGAGCACCTACATAACCTTCATTTGACTGATGGTCTGGCTGGGGTCGGGGACGAGGTTAGCGGGCTTTAAATGGGGGAAAGGAAGCGGCGGTCGCGGGCCTGGGGAAGGGTAGGGTCCTATCTCCCACTACCTGCTGGATCCTCACCCCCACCCCAACCCCCAACCCCTCGCTCTGCGGCGTTGGGGGAGGGGAGGCAAATGCCTTGCGGGAAGCTGTGCGCGCGGGAGGCTCCGTGCGTGCGCGTGCGCGTGGTGTGCACACGCGTGTGCGCGCCCGCCTGTGTATTCTTGCTTGTGTACCAGGGTATGTTCGTGTGACCCCTTAGGGGTCCCTACCCAAGTTTGTGCGTGCTACATGCGTGTGGAGGGAGACGCGTGGACTGTGCGTGTGCGTGCACAGCCATGTGCATACATGCACCGAGATGGGAGCTCGTGTAGGTGACGTGTACTCGGCTGCATGGGTGGAGGACGCAGTGCTGATGAGTGGGTTTGCACATTTGTATATGCATGTCGGTGTGCAGACAGCTGTCTGCCTCTCTACCCTGTGCACTGTGTTCGATGTTCATATATGCACAAGTGTGTATGGATGAGTGTGTGCCCTGCTGTGTGCACGTGAGCATGTGCACGCCCTGCTCTTATCACGTGATGAACCTGTTTCAGCCTGATCTCTCCCAGCCTGGGAGTCTGGGAGGAGGACTGCGACACGCGTCCCTGCAGTACCATACACGCGTGTGCACGTGCGCCCGCCCGGCTGAGTTCTGAGGAACATGAATGATGGGGGGTGGGGCCGGCCAGTCACCCCTCCTGGCACAGCTGTAGGGCTTAGGTTACAGCCAGACCTTGGGAGCAGGCCTGCTGGAGGGGGCTGCAGGGGTGTCTCCAAGCCCTTCCCTCTGGAGGTCCTCCCCTGAAACCTCTAGCTTTTCAAGGTCACGGCCCACCCTCTGCCATGGGCCCCATCATTAGTGCTGGGGCTCCTGATGGGTAAGTGTAATCTCTGCACACTAGTCCCTGTCTGGGAACTCTAAAATTCTCCCCATCCTGTGCCTGGGCTTGGGCGTTTGGGGATGGAGGGAGACTTCTCATATTGGCCTATACCCCACACCCCCAGATGGCATCCGCCACAGACTCCCGCTATGGGCAGAAGGAATCCTCTGATCAGAACTTTGACTACATGTTCAAGATCCTCATCATCGGAAATAGCAGCGTGGGCAAGACGTCCTTCCTCTTCCGCTATGCAGACGACTCCTTCACGCCTGCCTTTGTCAGCACTGTAGGCATAGACTTCAAGGTCAAGACCATCTACCGGAACGATAAGAGGATCAAGCTGCAGATCTGGGTGGGTCCAGCTGCGGGGGCTCCTGGCTCCATAGCTCTCCCACTCCAGAATAGCAGCCCCAGCTTTGCCTGTCTCTCTCCTGTCTAGATTCATTCATTACACACTGGGCATTTATCAGGTGCTTACTGTGTACCCTGTGTACCAGGGGCTAGAGACACAGAGGAAAGTGCCCCCATTCTCCCCTCAGTACCTAATTAGTGCTCTCCAGGGGTGGAGAAGGAGCAAAAGCTGGGTCCTCTCCTAGCCCTGACATCATTTGGATGCATCATTTGCTTGGTGCCTCAGTTTTCCCATCTTCAAGTTCTTCTATGTAGTTCTATATGAGGTTTCGGATGGAGCTTGACCCTCAACCTCATTCCCTGGGACAGAAGCAGGCTCCTCCCCCAGGGTCTTCTGACCGCCTCCCTCAACGCCTTCTGACCTTAGGGAGCCTGCTAAATCCCCTTCTCTGCTCACAGTGCTCCCACAGCTCCCACCTCACTCCAGGTAAAACCGACACCCCTCCCCCGGCCAAGCTGATACCCATCTCAGCTTCCTCGTTTTTCCTCAAAGGCACCAGACGCAGTCCTACTTCAGGGCCTCTGCCCGGGCTGTGTCCTGCCTGGATTGTCCTTCCCCTGATCCCCACATGGCTCCCTCCTTCATCCTTCAAGTTTTAAAACGGTACCCCAGCGCACGCTGCCCATCCTTGTTTGGCTTTATTTTTCTCCTCAGTCCTACCCCTCCAACGTAGCATACATTTTCTTCCTTTTCATGTGTTTATTTGTCTGTTTCCTGCCCTGGGCTATGAGTTCCACAAGGGCAGTGATTTTGGTCCATTTTGTTAACAGTTGGGCCCCCAGTGCCCAGGACAGGTCAGTGCCTGGGACACGTGTTGAATGAATGCAGGAATGACCCTATAGTTACCTTAGGATGACTGAGTACCACATTCATGGTGCAGACAGTCGGTTCATTCTCCCTGACCCACTGTGCCTCTGGGCAAGCCCCTACTCCTTGGGGCCTCAAGGCTGGCTGGACTAGACAATCTGAGTTCATTTCCATTGAGGAGTTTCCATGTGTGTCCCTGTTTCTTCTTCCCCAGGACACAGCGGGGCAAGAGCGGTATCGAACCATCACGACAGCCTACTACCGGGGCGCCATGGGCTTCATCCTCATGTACGACATCACCAATGAGGAGTCCTTCAACGCGGTGCAGGACTGGTGAGCATGCCCCCACCTGCTCTTGGATGGTCTTCTGAGCCAGGCTTGGTGCAAGGCCTGGGGTGCAGGCCAAGATGAGGGAGCCCCAGTCTCTTAGCTGAAACCTAAATAACAATGTTGGGGTCCCAGACTGCTACCAATTTATAAGCATTAAAACACTGTGCTACCAGCTCAAAGTAGTGGGAAAAAAAGTATTTCAGGTGGAAAAATGAAACTCTAAACACGTAAGGAAAAAAAAGTCTGGGAGGGACAGAAAATATAGACAGTTTGCATAGGATAGAGAATACAACATTTAAATTTCTGCCCAGAGTAATGATATATTTTTAAGAAAACGTTTGAATTTGTTGAGGAGGGAGAAATTCTTGAGGGGGGTGGATCTGGGAAGGGTGGGAAAGGCTGCTTGAAAGGACTCCCAGGATCAGTGAACTGCTGGAGCAGATATGTGCAGAGAAGAAAATGTTCCTGGCAGGACAAAGGCAGCGAGGAGGGACAGAGCCTGCCTCCCTAAGGAATAAATGGGAAGGTGGGGTGAGCGAGGGGGAGATGGGGGAGAAGGGGGTGGAGCTCAGATTCTCCAAGCCCTAACCTGCCTATGTCATGGCCTCCTCCAGGTCAACTCAGATCAAGACCTACTCATGGGACAATGCCCAGGTGCTGCTGGTGGGGAACAAGTGTGACATGGAGGATGAGCGGGTGGTGTCATCGGAACGCGGCAGGCAGCTGGCTGACCACCTCGGTGAGTGCCCGGTGGGACTGGACACCTACGTATAAGCTAGGAAAGGAACACAAGCCCTGAAAGGGGAGGAAACATACCCAAGTTCTCATAGCAAAGCCAGGGTGGAGCCTGGATTCCAAGCCAGGCAATTCACATTCTGCAAACTGGCCTTGATCCAGGAGCTGTTTTAGGTGGGTGTTGATGGATGCTTAGGAGTTCACTCTGCAGGAAAAGTGACTCATTTATTCTGATACCCTTACTGCCCAGCTTCATGGTGGGTGTTGCTAGGCCCCTGAGCTTCCAGCTTTGTGAGGTAAAGGGAGGGACCTGGGCTGGGGAGTTCTTGGAGGAACCAGGCTCTGCATGGTGTAGTAAGGCTTCCTAGAAATTGGACATTGGATCTGGTACTTGAAGAAAGGGTGGTCTTTCAGACAGAAGAAATGGCATGGGCAAAAACCAGATGTGGGGAATATCTTGTGTGTTTTGGAAATAGTTTCATGTGACTGGAACATGAGGATCATTTGGAGGAAATGTGGCTGACTGTGTAGGGCCTGAACCACAAGCTGAGAAGCCTGACTATTCGGAGGGCAGTAGGGAGCCATGGAAGGTGTGTGAGCAGGGGAAGGCATGGCTGGACCTGAGTGTCAGATGCCGCCAGGACCAGTGAATGGGGCTAGGCTGGATGGTGGGAGCAGGGAAGTAAGCCTTGCTAGGGCTCTGGGGATAATGAGGAGTTTTAGGGTGAAGAAAGAGGGGCAGGGTATAAAGGCTGACTCAGTCCAGTGTTGCTTCCCCACGGGACCTGTCAGTGTTTTAACATCATGCAGTTGGTGCTGGGAATCTCCAGGTGTTGCCTGCCCTTAGAGGAGTGTCTCTGGGAGTGGGGAGACCACGGTCCTCACCCTTCCCTTTCACCACCACAGGGTTCGAGTTCTTTGAGGCAAGCGCCAAGGACAACATTAATGTCAAGCAGACCTTTGAGCGCCTGGTGGATGTCATCTGCGAAAAGATGTCCGAGTCTCTAGACACGGCCGATCCCGCAGTCACGGGCGCCAAGCAGGGACCACAGCTCACCGACCAGCAGGCGCCCCCACACCAGGACTGCGCCTGCTGAGAACTGCCCCGCCCCATCCTGGCCCCGCCCCCTATCCCCCCCCACCCCGGGCCTGAGCCAGGCCCCCTACTCGCCATGGGTGCGAGTTCCCTGCCCCAGTTTAGCCCATCACCCTATTTATTATCGTAGCTATTTATTTATTTATTGGAGATGTCCCCCAGGGGCTCGGACGCCCCACCCACTCTGCGCCCTACCCTGTACATACAGCCCTGTTCCCGCTCTGCAGTGGCGTGTTGTGGCCCTGTGAACTCACCGCTCACTCTTCTCCCCAGACCCCACCTTTTTATAAATTCACCCCCATCAACAGGTATCAGTTTTGGAGAGGGGGCCAGATGACACCCCAGGGCAGGCTGATCGAGTAATGGGAGGTAGCCAGGCCTGCCAGCCCCTTAGTTGTGACACAGTGGGCCAAGGTGGCTGCAGGAGTCTCAGCGTGAACCACGGGGTGGGTGAGAGCCGGGAAATAGCCTGCCTGGCTACTGGCCTCATGGTTGTACCTTTTTTTGGAAAGGGGACTGCTGTGGGTACTCACCACCCTGGGACACCCCCCGCCAGACCTGTTCTGACATCATGAGTGTCAAACATGCCCCTCATTCCCCCGGGAGATATGACAACACTACATACCCCCAATAAAGCGAATGGATGACACAGTGTCCCTCTGAGTGCCAGCATGCCAGTGCGGGCTTTGGCCATCCACAAGATTGTCAATTTCAGAGAGAATTTAATGGAATCTCCACAGCCCATGACCAGAGGATGGGACAGGAGGTTGCCCAGCCCTATCTGAGGCTCCAGATTTTGGGGGCCAACTACTGGCTGTGCACCTAGGGGATGGGCGATGTCTCCACCTTGGTCCCAGAGCCCAGCCCACAGTAGTGTTAAGGGCTTGGGATTGGCTGGCTGGCTGGGGTCCAGGGCTGAGGATGGAACATCTGTTGCCAGTCACTAAGGCTCCCCTAGAAGGGCTGAGGGATGATTGTCCATCTTCATTGTTTGTTCGTTTCCCCAAAGTGAAGCCTGGCAGTGGGCTTGGAGGGGGCAGCCCAACCAGATGCCCAGGTATCAGGGTGGAGCTAGAACTTGGCCCAGGAACATGTTCCCCTTCCAGCCCAAGGCAGCTGGTCAGTTGAGGATCAGTCTTGCCCTGTCCGGCATCCTGCTGGAGCATGAGGCAGCTCAGTCTGCGTGGTACCCAGGGCCATGCAGCCTGGATGTGTCTGGGAGCCTGGGATCTGTCCGCACAAGAGGGTCTGGTTACAAGCCCTGTTCATCCCTCAGGGCTCCTCCTCACAGAACCCTCCACCCGTTGGGGCTGGAGTTAGCCTCACTGGACAGATGCAGCAGGGACCTGGCTGAGGTCACATCAGACAGCGGAGGTGGGCTTGGTTTTCACCATACTGGTCATCTGCTCCCTGCCCACCCACCATAGGGTGCAGGTTGTCACAGGCCCTCATCCTGGAGGGTAGCTGTACAGCTGTTTGGGGCTCACACATGTGGCCCCCCAGGAGTCCCCTGGGTGCTTGGTCCGCCCACTGCGCTCACCCGGTATTTCAGATAGGAGAGGTACGTGTCCCAGCCCAGTGTCAGGCCGTTGATGTAGGTGACTCGGAACTGGGGGGGCACGAAGAGGAAATTCACCAGCTGCGCAGCAGGCCACACGCACCAGTCAGCCTATGGGGAGGGGTGAAATGTAGTAAGAGGCGGGGTCAGGAGGGATCTGGTGGGGTCAGGTGGCTGTGAGGGGTGGGGCCTTGAAAGGGGGTGCCTGTGAAAGGGAGAGGTGGGACAGATGCAAGGGGGTGGAGAATGAAGGAATAGGCGGGGCCTGGACAGGCATGCCCACCTTGTAGAATTCCCAGAACTTATCTCGCAGCTCCTGGCAGCTCTCACCTAGGGTTTGGCCCTCCAGGCAGCCAATGCCTAGGAAGGAAACCAAGAAATGAGAGTGTCAGAGGATGGGGAGTACTAGAGAGGGTAGGGTGGAGCCCCTGAGGGACAGGGTGTCCCAAGCAGAGGGACTAGGACATTTAAAAGCCCTGCAGTGGGAAGGGCACACAGAGAGTGGTTGGTGTGGGTAAACAGCAGAATAACTAGGTCCCAGTTAGGGAGAGAGGTGGGTTATGAATAAACACGTACCCTGAGGTATGGAAACACACCTCTCCCAAGGCAGAGGCTGTTTTATTACCAGTCCTTTACAAATAAGGAAATTGACTCTGGGGGGGCAAGGAATGGTCGAGTCTCCAGAGCCAAAGGCTGGAATGACTGTACCCCTTTAACCCCAGTTTCAGCTCCTTTCCATTCAGCCTCAGGGCCTTTGCACGTGCTGTTCCACCTGCCTGCTGGATCCTTCTTCAAGTCTCAGCAGAGCGTCCTCTCCTTTGGGAAGCCCTCCCAACCACTGTCCAGGGCAGCCCCATCAGTCTTCACTCTTCCTACACTTAGCACCATTGTCTGTGAGTCTGCCATTCACACCTGCCTCCACTGGGTCTGTCCTATTACCACTGTAACCCAGCCTCCTGTCCAGGGCCACCCACACAAGAGGTGCATTTTTGATTCCTTCTTAATACAAAGCTGGCTCTGCCCTTCCTGACCTATAAGGGGCAAAGCACAAGCTCACATGCCTCCTTACCCAAGAAGTACCAGACACCCAGCGTGGGAGAGGCCACCAGTTGGTCGATGAGAACCTTCCTGAGGACGTTTGGGAGGCCACGGAAGCCGGATGCAGGGAGCAGGTGGTCCAGCCAGAGGTACCAGTAGTGCAGGAAGGGGCCCATGCTGCAGCCCACTGCAAACATGCTCACTGTGGGCAATCCAAGAGTTGGGGGCCGGGGGCTCGTCAGGCCAGCAAATCCCCCAATCCGCTCCCTTCCTGGCTAAGACCGGGTTAGCCTCATTCGCTTCCAGAGCCCAACCGTGTAGTATTCCATTATTAGTCCCACCGCCAGACAATGTTCCAAGGGCTGTTTTTGCATCTTCTTGCCTCATTCCTTCACCACCCTGTCAGAGGGTTCTACCATCGCCCCATTTTCCAGAATAGGAAACAAAGGCACAGCGGGTAGGGAAGTATGGGGCCAGGGCGCGACTCCAGGCTGGCTGGGGCCAGATGCTGCGCCCTTAACAGCCCCGGATGCAGCATCCCGTGCTCAACGCTAGGTCTCTCAGTGCAGGAGGGAAGCAGACGAGGTGGTGGGTAAGGACCTGATCCCCAGGATAGGAGCGGACAGAAACCTTACATCTTGGAGGGAATGAAGACCCCACTGGGGAGGGGACGGAGACCCGGAGATGCGCTACCTAGGGTGCACGCGGAGGTCAAGGGTCTTGCCAGGGACTGAGGCCATGGGTCAAGGGTCAGGGCGCGAGGGTCCAGTTCACGGGTCTCCGAAACAGGTCGGGTCCAAAGATCCTGCGGAGTCAATGGCCAGCAGCACCAGCCCCTCACCTGAGCGCCGCGGGTCGAACTTCTGGCCCGTCCGGGCGCGGATCTCCCAGGACTGGCGCACGCCATCTCCGGCTGCCATGAGAGCGCCGCAGCCCAGCGTATTCGTCACGAGCAGCGCACGGCCTTGGAACAGGGGCTGCCCCGCGGCCCATAGGCCGCGCACCCAGCGCCAGCCTCTGGACGCCATCGCGGATGGGACCCAGGAACCGGCGCACCGGGCCGCCCCGCCCATGCCGACCAATCGCGCGTCACCGCAGCAGCGGGGGCGCCCATCCCGCGCCGTGTTAGCCAATCACACGCTGTTTGCGCGATTTGCACGCCCTCTCCAAGCAGCGCCAGTCAATCGCTAACCGCTCTCTGCTTCACTTTACCCGCCCCGAGAGGCATTAGCCAATAAAAGGCCGGTATCCCTTCCCAGGCCAATCGCTGAACGAAGCCTTACACCGCCTCTGCGCCTTACGGACCAATCACAAATAGGCTTCGCGCCACACCGCGCATGCCAATTACTGACTTCGACTCTCGTTGTCCCGCCCCTTTATGCTCTGGCCTATGGGTAACCTTCGCCATATTCAGCCCAGTAGTGCACTGGCCAATCGGAGGCCCTCGCAGACTATCAGGCAAATCACTGACTGTCGCCCTGCCTCTCACGTTGAGATGGCCAATCTTAGTTACCGAGTTCTCCTGTCTAGTTGCCCTCCAATTTTGCAGATTCTCCCGGAATTCCCGAGAAAGGGTTCGGACCTGTGGCTATGACAGCTACCGGAACGGAGGTCCAATCCCTCAAAGACTGAGGAAAGTGGAGGCGGAGCTACAGTTCTGCTGCGAGCGCAGGCCACCGGGATTCTTGTCTAGACGTTGACCTTGGTCCTGACTATAGCTGGTCGTCTGACCTTAGTTCCAGAGGAATAATAATTCAAACTTTAGGCACTGTTCTGGGCACATTACGTGCATTAAGACATTTTACAGCAAATTTGTGCTGCTGCAGGAACAATTATCTCCCCATTTTATCTCCTGTAGGGGAAAATGTGAGTTGCAACGAAAACCTATGCATTACCTACAGGAACAGGGTGTCATAAACTATGGCCTAGGGGCCAAAATCTGTCATCTCCTGTTTTGATAAGGCTCAAGAGCTAAGCATGTTTCTTACATTTTTCAATTGGTCGAGGAAAAAAAATCAAAATAATACTCTGGGACATGTGAAAGTTATGTGAAATTCAAATTTTCTAGTCTATAAATAAAGCTATACTAGAACATAGCCATGCCCATTTATTTATTTTCTGCTCTCACTACAGTGAGTAGTTGCAACAAAGATTGGTCTGCAAAAACGAAACTATTAACAATATGGCCTTTAAAAAATTTTTTTTGCCCTGTGTTAGAGGACACCGTTTAGGGTTTTCTGATTTTGACTCTATGGGAGATATTTTATAAACTCAGTGGTAATAATGGATAACAGCGAAAAATAATTCTTGCCTATATACATGCAAATGAATTCTACCAAGTGGAGAGCCGCTCCCCCCAATTTTTATGCCTTCATTTGTACATTCATTTTGCTGTTCCTATTTTGTCTGTTGTTTGGATCTCCTTTGAAGTGGTTTTTAACACCTGACCAGTTCCCTTTATTAATAACAAGTTAACAATAATTTTTAACACATGCTCATTTTTATATCTGTATGAGAGTCATGATTTTACCTTTTTTGGGAGAATTGTCCTTCAACATTTCCTATTGCTGACAAAT